ACAGTAGCTGTTACCTCCTCCTGATGATTTGGGTCAGTTATCCCAGCCAGGTTGGTTCTCTATCTCTCGTCTGCTGGTCTCTTGGCAAGAGGAGCCTGAAACGCCCAAGAGGCAGCTGTAGCTTATGGGGCTCTTGCCGTGTCCCCTGGAGGAACTGTTTCCCCTTTGTGAACCACGATCTCTAAACCCACAGAACCCAGAGTTAACAGGACAGGAAGCACAAATTCTCCAAGTATTGATAGCTCACTGGGAGTGATAGTAAACGGGCTGTTTCTGCTTCCATCCCTTGAATCCTAGGCTCGTGGATTCCGCCTACTGGGGAACACAGCACCACAGAAGTCATCTGATTTCCAATGTTTATTGCAGGATCCTGGAGGATGATGCCCTATCCCCGCAAAACTTTAGATAGTCATATGTGCTGATAAAAAATAATAACGATAATAAGGCAGGGAGGCAAAGGGAGTATAGGGTGGGATAGTTACAATTTTAGATAGGGTGGCCAGGGCAGGCCTCACCAAGCAGTGACATCTGAGTACAGATCTAAAGGAAGAGAGCAATTTAGGGTGAGATCATTCCAGGCAGGCGGAGCAGAAAGTGCCCTGGCCTATGGCCGGAGTTTTCTGGGAGTGCTCAAGGCACAGTGAGGTGATCAGCATGCCAAGGGTAGAGAGAAAGAAGCAGAGAATTGGTAGATGAGGTCAGACTGGCGGTAGGTGACCATACTATGTAAGGTCTTAGAGGTCATTGTAAAACGTTTGCTTTTACTCAGAATAAACTGAGAAACCACAGGAGGTTTTGAGGTGAGAAGTGATATGATATATGTTTTACCAGAATCTCTGTGGCATCACTGAGGACAGACCAAAGGGGAAAAGGTGGAAGCAGAGGTGCCAGTGACGAGGCTGCTACACAACTAGCAAGAGATGGTGGTGGTGGGACCAGGATGGTGACAGTGGGGGTGATCTTAACAGAGCAGGCTTCCAGAGGCACCTGTCACAGTACATTCAATGTCAGAGGGGCCTCTTAGAATTGTGTAATGTGGTAATACCAGGTGAGTCAAATTTTGCTACAGTTTAAGGCAGGGGCAACCAGATTTGATGATACAGAATGTGAGAAGAAGAGTGGTGTGATGGACGGCTCCAAGGTTCTTGGCCTGAGCACCTGGGAAGTTGGGGTAGCCATCCATCGAGATGGAGGAGACAGTGCAAGGAGCAGCCTGAGAGATGGGAGCAATAATGGGAACTCAGTAGCGGACACATTAAGCTTGAGATGCCTGGGACTTCCCTGGCGGTCCAGTGGTTTAGACTTCGCGCTTCCACTGCAGGGGGCGCGGGTTTGATCCCTGGCTGGGGAACTAAGATCCTGTATGCCTTGCAGCGTGGCCAAAAAAGTTAAGCTTGAGAACCCTGTTGGACATCCAGTCAGCAACCAGATATTGAGCCTGGAGACCATGGAAGGCTCCAGAGTTATGCATTTGGGAATCATTAGCATTTAGATGGCATTTGAAGCCATGAGAATGAATGAGATGGCTTAGTAAGTGTGGTGAGAATGTGTGAGATCACTTAGAAGTGAGAGTAGGTAAGAAAAAAAAAAAAAACCCGAACCAAACCAAAGACTGGACCTAACGCACTCCATGGTCAGAGTGTGGGGGAATGAAGAGGATCCAGTAAAGAGATAGAGCAGGATCAGTCAGAGAGGTGGGAGAAATCCAGGCCAAAGAGCTATCCTGGATGCAAATGAAGAAAGAGCTTCAAGAAGAGCCCCAGAAGGAATGAAGTAGCCAGGCATACGGTCTCAAGGATGTTCCCTGGGCTATTTGAATCTGATCTAGACTTATGCCAGTGAAGTATCATAGCATGTGCATCCTGGCCTCCCTTCAGAATGTTGACAATAAAGGCCCAGCTCATCATTTCCAAAGCAAGCCTGGTATTCTAGAGGAGGGACCCAAGGGTACAGAAGACGTTTCAAAGCATTTGGTCAGGACTGTTGTTCTTTCATTTCTATCTTTCTGAAAACGCCTATTTTAACAAGTTGTTTTTGGAGTCTTGCCTGGAAAGCTAAAAAGAGCCGGAAGCTGCCTGTTGTCCAGAGCCCACAGCTGAGCACAGTACATGAGAGGATGTGTGAATATCCATCGCTGCGCTTGTGTTGAGGCACTGCTAGAGCCATGCCCAGAAGCGGCAGCAGCAGCTAAAACCACCCTGGAAATTCCATTTGTTACCAACCAACTTTGAGAATGCTTTTCTGTTTTCTTAAATAAGACTTTTGAGGAGGGGGAAGCGGCAATGGGAATTTTAAAACAAATATTTTCAGGAGACAAAGGATTGTCATATTTTGTTATTAGTAACTACAAGCAGAAATGTGAAAGCACTTTTTAAAAATGTGGTGAAAACAACTCTTTTCTTGATAAGAATACAATATTTGGGGAGAACGTGGATCAGATATTTCCTCCTGAATTACTGCATCATAACAAATTCTGTATGATTTCACTCATTTCAAATATATTTTAAGACAGGGAAATGGGGGAGAAGGAGTTAAATAAATGAATATCCAAAGCAGTTTGAAGTAATGAAAAGTTTCCTTTTCCATAGGATATAATATTTTTTTAAATGTTTACTTTTTTTAATGCTGTTCATTTCAAATTTAAATGTTATTCACAGGATAGCTATTGGAAAGTTTGTACCTCTGAGCAAATTTTTTTTTAAAGTTGGAGGAAACAAAATTGGGGGTTTTTGTTATTTTGCTTTTGAATAGCTTGTTAAGAGTAAGCAGCTTTGTTAAGCAACTATCATTTATTTCTAGCATATTTTGGTTAGTTATGAAAATTAATGGTAACTAATTTCTTCAAACCCTGGGTTTAAACACTATCTGAAATAACTCAATGTTACTGGATTATTGTCCCGACCTGCACATTATTGGCCCCAGGTCCCTTCCCTAGCTTTCTTTAGTTTCTCAATGAGTCTCTGGGTGAAGGCAATGATTCTTCTCTTGCCCCATAAGAAACCACTTGGGGACGACATCTCACCACAGTCCTGGCTGCCTGAGCCCTGAGAAAGCGGTGGGTCTCTGACACCCCAGACCTTGGGTTAGAAATTGTGAGAAGGCAGCCCCCTGCTAAGCTGTTTCTCTTTTGCCATCTCTGCCCTGAAGCAGCTCTTTCTCTTTGTGAAAACAGTTCCTTCACCTGTTGCTCAAGGCTTCTTTCTCTATAGCAGGATTTTTCGAAACATGAGCTGATGAGTTGGAAAGCAATTTAGTGCGTAAGGAGGGAGTTATCAATAATTACATGGGGACAAGAGGCATAAGCTGGGACTGCCCTGGACAAAGCAGGACATGTGCTCACCCGCTAGCTCAAGATCAGAATTAAAGAAAGTGAAGTTGAATCGGAAGAGAAGATATCAGCGTGTCACATATAGAAAGTGTAAATAGTATTTTATGACACTTTAGCTGGGAGCAGGTCAAACACATTTCTTACTGGAGTCAAGGACAAAAACATTTGAAAATCACAGCTCTATAGGGCTGAGACTAGTCTGCAGAGGGGACTTTGGGTAAGGCCATTATGCTTTCCTTCTAGGTTGTTCTCCTCTACTCTAGCCTCCTTTTGCCCTAAATAAGGCTCTCAAACAATGCAAGTCTTACAACTAAACTCCTCCCACTTGAACCCCAGCACTGGGCCTGGAGTAAGCCAAGTTCCCTGAAACATCATGTCTTTGCTTATAGGATAACACTTTGCTTGTCTGAAATCATTGAGGAATGTAAGCGGTTCATCTATTATAAGGGTATCTAAATGCGAACTTTCATGGAATAGAAGCTGATATAAATATATTTTTTCTCTGCACGCTCCTTAAGGATAAGAGCCTTCTGAGAAAATAGCAGCACCCTGACAGGTAGAGGTCCTCAGTAACTGCTCATTGAACTTTGCTGGTCTGATGACTGGGTTTTCTCTCCTGCCCCGTCCTGTGAAAACTGATACCCACATGTTGTTTCTTGGGTGGTATAACTGCCCTCTTTGTGGAATGTCTTCAGTATTTTCTCTCATAACAAGGATAAATCTCTAGCAGGAGAAAATGTATACTCTGGAAATAATAGTGCACTGGGGAAAGGTTCAGTTAGAGAGTTCACATAAAGCAGTTGGCACAGTGCTGGGTACCCGGTAAGTGCTCAGTAATGTGGACTGTTGCCATTATTAAGTAAACAGAGTAAAGACAGAACAACACAGAAAAAAAATTGTTGGCTCTTGTGTCACTTCACAAGAAGAGCCAGGGCCTTTAGCACTTAGCTTGGTGGTTCTGTTTATTAAGTAACCATTAGTGAATTGATTTTCTTTTCTTTCTTTCTTTTTTTTTTTTTTTTTTTTTGGGCGGTACGCGGGCCTCTCACTGTTGTGGCCTCTCCTGTTGCGGAGCACAGGCTCCGGACGCGCAGGCTCAGCGGCCATGGCTCACGGGCCCAGCCGCTCCGCGGCATGTGGGATCTTCCCGGACCGGGGCACGAACCCGTGTCCCCTGCATCGGCAGGCAGACTCTCAACCACTGCGCCACCAGGGAAGCCCTAGTGAATTGATTTTTAAGTGATACCATGGATTCTCAGGACCCCTGACCCCCCCCCACTTTTGTATGTCTTCTCTGTGCACTCTCTTTACCCAGATAATGCAGAGCAGGCTTTCCACCAGGTTGTGAAGCAAGAGCGGGCTCATGAGCTCTGGTGCTGATTCCTCTGAAATTGCAATCTCTGTGGTTTGGTTCAGGGGGGCTCTTGCCCTGGACTTGGCTGGTAGTCTGAGACAGAATCATGGCTTCCCAAGCAGTTAAGCAGGGATTCTCAACCTCAGCACAACTGACACTTGGGGCAGGATAATTCTTTGCTGTAGGGGTTAGCCTGTGCATTGCAGGATGTTCAGCAACATCTTTGGCCTCTGTTCACTAGATTCCAGTCGCATCTCCCTCCTCCACCAAGCTGTAACATCCAAAACTGTTTTCAGACATTACCAAATGGCCCCTGGGTTCAAAATGGCCCCAACCAAGAATCACTGAGCTAAATTAAGGACAAAAAGGCAAGATAATCGTCTTAAAATACACCAGTCTTAAGTGACTTTAATTAGTTACATATATTTTAGGACTTACCGAGTAGACATGCTTAAAGGACACTTTTGCAACGTTTATTAGTATTGTGTCATGAATAACATAATTTAAAATGTCTCACCTTTTAAAATGCAGCGTGAATCAAGAAATCACTCAACCTGATTCCCTCACACTCCACGCACAAGCCTTGCCTTCTGCTTACAACGTACTTCCCTTTCTGGGCAAACTCCTACTCACCCTCCAACACCCAGCTCAAATGTCACATCCTTTTAAAGAATTCCATGTGTTCCAGTGGTATTTTATGTATATCTTCTACCACCATATTTACATATTATTATAATTATTCATAGGTCTGTCTCCCCAGCAAGGGTAGGAACTATGTCTTACTCACTTTTCCACCTCTAGCCCTTGGTACAGTGCCTGTCACAAAGCTTTTCCACAGCTGGTTGTCAGAGAGTCAGTGTGGAAGCTGCAAATCTGAGTTTCAATCCTACTCTGCTCCTTATTAACTATAGGACTTTAGACAAGGCATTTAACTCTCAAAAATGCTGTTTCTCCACCCGTAAGATGAAGATAATAGTATTTACAACTTGATGGTTTTAGTGATTTCAAAACAATGTTGTGATTTAAAAACACCCAGTTACATCAATGCCTCTTTGAGAAATGAGCTGTGGCTGACCATGGGTTAGAATATATGAAGTCCCTCCTTTGAGTTTTGTAGCTGGGCAGAGTGTAGTTCAGACACCTTGGGGAAATGTTGTGTGTTATTACTTGATTATGACTGTGTAATAATTTAATAGTGATTTTCATTAAAATATTTTTTCAAAGAATTGTGTACTTCAACTCCCAGGAATATATCCAAGGGGCTTCATTCAGGGCTGGAAGGAGGCCTAAGAACCACCATTATTTGTATGTTACTGTTCATGGGACCTCATTAGCACCCCAGGCTGAAGAGGCCTGGTGACACTGGCTTATGTCCTCATAAATTGGGTGCTGCTCTAGGGAACATTAATCATACTCCTGTGATTCATCTGCTCTCTGCTTGTTCCATTGGAAAGCAACCAGGAACAGAAAGCTCATGGACTCTGGGGCCAGATAATCCACTTGTTAATGTATAATCTTTAGTAAATTGTTTAACCTCTCCAAGCCTCATTTTTCTCATCTTTTAAAAATGGGATGAAGAATAATTGTTCTCATAGTTGTTTTGAAAATGAAAAGAGGTCACATACAATGGATTTTTGGCACAGTGAAACTACTGTGTATGATACTATAATGATGGAGACGTGTCATTATACATTTGTCCAAACCCACAGAATGTACAACACCAAGAGTGAACCCAAGTATAAGCTATAGTCTTGAGGTGATTGTGATGTGTCAGTGCAGGTTCATCAGTTGTAACAAATGTCCCACTCTAGTTGGGGATGTTGATAACTGTGGAGGCTACGCATGTGTGGGAGCAGGGGGTAAATTGGAAATCTCTGTACCTTCCCCTCAGTTTTGTTGTGAACCTAAAACTTCTAAAAATTAAACTCTATTGAAGAAAAAAGAGGTCACATATATAAAACATCTAATACATGCCTGGCTCATAGGAAGTACTTGCCCAATATCAGCTACATTTTGCTCACAGATGACAGTGCATTTCAAACATCACTCAGCTGTCTGTCCACCATGTGGAATATATCTGGCTTGCCTCCTTACTGTCAAAGGCTCTGGTATAAAGAACTTGAACCCATGTCAGGAATTATTCCAGTATTAGTAGTGGTATTATTATTGCCTAGTAATAATAATCATATTAATGACGATATCAACCACAGTGAACAGGTATTAAACATTAGTGTGCCTACATTTTTCTACATGCTTCATACACACTACTCAACAAACCTATGCAGGAAGTTCTATTCTTAACCCCACTTAACAGATTAACTGAGGCACAGATGGGTTAATTGTGCCATGTCTCACAGTTGAAAAGTGGGGCAGCCAGACCTGAAAACCACAGACATCTGCCACCAGAGTGCATCTTTTTAACCACTGGGCCTAACTGAAGGCCGTTCATTGTTTTGTTCACTGGCTCAACAAACACACAGTGAACAGTTATTTTGCTCTAGGCACTGAAACTCTGGAGATAAATAAGACATAAGTCCTCAAAGAGTTCACAATCTAGTGTGCAGGACAGATATGTGAACAGATGATTTCCATGAAATGGGATAGGAACAACAACAGAGGTCGATGTTACATACAGGGGAAGCACCCTAGTGGCAGTGGTGGGTTCTCTGGGTTATACCCTCCTGAGAAAGGGCCCCTGGAGTGGATTAAATAGAGGAACAGCCTGCCACAGCAATGAGTACTTGGCAGCTGGGGTGGCTGGTCAGACACAGGTAACCCCTGATAAACTTAGTCTGAAACCTACTTAGAGATAATGTAGCTTGTCATTAGTCACTGGGCCCATAATTTTACTACTTAGTATCTTTGTCTGGGAAAAGAACAATAATCAAATACCATGTGACTCAGAAGCTAGGCAGTTGCTTATATTGTTCTCATTATCAATGGAACTGATAAACTGTGAAGCAGGTACTCAACTTGTTCTATAGAAATAAAAAAGTGCTGTACTTTGACGTGTACGTTCTATGATGAGACTGTGTTTTCCGTGGTAGGCTGCACAATGGTGATCTCAAGGTTTGTTCTGAGCAGGAGGGAATTAGAAAGAAATGTTTCAGATTATGTCCTTCCTCTGTGAGTGCTTGTTTTCTGAGTTGTTAGGGAAAATGTGAAATGGCAAGACTCCTCAGGAAGGCTGCCCCACCGAGCATATGTTTGTGCTCTTCTCATTTTCAGTGATGTCCTGGAAGAGAACTGTGGCCTTGGAGAAAAAGCCATTGTTCCAGGAACGCCCGTCTATAATGCATTGTGGCTTTCAACCAATACATCACTTAAGGGATGGAAAATCCGTATGCGTCCTCAGTGCCTCGGGGTTTCCAAATGAGCGGAGAAATGAGCTTCTCTGGATTCCAGTGTTGCAGTTTGGCAATACAGGCCTTTCCCTGCAAAAAAAAAAAAAAAAAAGAAAGAAAGTTGTGAATTTAAGGGAGACTTCTTACATAGATCTCCTTGGTAGCTGGGTTAAAATGTGGAGGAATTTTAAGCATTTTAAAACACCAATAAGAGCTAATTCCAAGCATGGTGAATTTGCCTTCATTATGAAACAATGTCTTGTGTTGTGAAGGGAGATATTACACAGGGATGTGATGGTGACTTGGAAAGAAGAGGGGCTGCTGAGGGAACAGGAGGACTGCTGAGGGGGAAAGCCATGCAGAGCTGATGCTTTCTGTTGTAGCTACAGACTCAGCATGGCAAGGGGCTTTTTTTTTTTTTTTTTTTTTTGCGGTACGCGGGCCTTTCACTGCCTTGCCTCTCCCGTTGCGGAGCACAGGCTCCGTACGCGCAGGCTCAGCGGCCATGGCTCACCGGCCCAGTCGCTCCGCGGCACGTGGGATCCTCCCGGACCGGGGCACGAACCCGTGTCCCCTGCATCGGCAGGCGGACTCTCAACCACTGCGCCACCAGGGAAGCCCGGCAAGGGGCTTTTAAATGATCTGGACCAGTGCCGCTCCTCTTTTTTCTCTGCACCAAACACTTGACAGACACAAAATATTTGTAGTAGAAACCATTGCAGGGCTGGGTATCAGAACCGGGGTGGAGGTGGGCGCATTGGGAGGAAAGGGATGAGGTGGGGAAGGGAAGCAAGGCGGTTCTAAAAACAACCCAGCCAGGTGAGCGGGAACTTGCCTACTGAGCCTCCCAGGAGTCATTACTGCTCCAGGGAGACGCTCTCCTTTGGGACTGCTGTGACTGAGGCCACTACCCCTCCAGGGTTACACTGGGTCATACGTAGGCCACTCCTCCACGTCTGCTGGCCCTAAGTTCTCTGGAATTCCGCCAAACACACCTGATATCCCTTCCTACGTGACCGTTCTTCAAATACCAGGAGTCAGATCCCTTCTAAGACTCCTTTTCTACATGAAACTTCTGCTATTTTTTTTTTCTTACCCATCCTACACTCTCATCCCTCAGGACCCCACTATGTGCCAGGTGAGGCCAGGTAATCTGAAAAACAAATCCATGATACTGTGTCAGTCAGTGGTAATAAGTTACTCTTATGTCTACAATCGCAAAACAGGAAGAGGCCTTAGAGGTCAGCTCAACCCAACTCCACATCGATACGTGGAAAAAAATGGAGGTTCAGTTGTTGGTGGGTAAATTAGGACCAACATGCAAATTTCTGAACCCTCAGCATAGCAGGGCATGTGCCAGACCACATTCCCGGGAAACATTTTAACAGGCAGCAAATCAAAGTATAAGGCGGGATTAACTAACAGCGCGATAAAGAATCCAGCCTGCTGTAGTTTTTGCCTCTTTCGGCACACTCCATATAATTTACTTTTACAAAATAAGATCCTCCCGAAACCAGTGGGGCTCCTAAGGATGTTTTTTTCTTACTATTAACCTGATAGTTTGTGGTTGTTACTGTTTTGTGGGTAAAATACTCACACAAAGTGAGTTGTTCTTCCCCTTGTTTTCGGTTGGTGGTATTTTACCTTCAAAGACGTAGCTCTATGGATGCAACTTATTTCCAAAATTGAAAGATCCTCAAAGGACCAAATAACAGTAAAGTGTGGGATTGTATTATGTAGCAGGTGTATCATTCCCTATGAAGGAAGGAGAGAGGAAAAAAATTCAAAGCAATATTATTGGTGTGAACAGTTTGCTGAAAATACACAAAAAGTTCATATAATTCTTTTAAATGAACTTTTAATTTAGAATAGTTTAAGATTTACAAAAAATTGCAAGGATAGTACAGAGAGTTCCATATAGCCCACACCCAATTTCTCCTATTATTAACATTTTACATTAGTATGATACATGTAACACAATTATGAACTAATATTGATGCATTATTATTATTAACCAAAGTTCTTTCTTTATTCAGATTTCCTTTGTTTTTATCTAATGTTCTTTTTCCGTTCCAGGGTTCCACCCAGGATATAACATTACATTTAGTCATCGTGTCTTGGCTATGACAGTTTCTTAGACTTTCCTTGTTTTTGGTGACAATTGTGAGGAGTATTGGCCAGGTGTTTTTTTTTCTAACTTTTGTGTTTTTTTTGGCCACGTGGCGTGGCTTGCAGGATCTCAGTTCCCCGACCAGGGATTGAACCTGGGCCATGGCAGTGAAAGCCAGGAAAAGCCAGGAATCCTAACCATGAGGCCACCAGGGAACTCCCACCGGCCAAGTATTTTCTGGGTCTCTCAATTGGGACTTGTCTGATTTTTCCTTATGATTAGAGTGGGATTATGGGTTTTATGGAAGATGATCTAAGAGGCAAAGCACAGTTCTCAGCAATTGTATCAGGAGTATATGCTATCCACGTGACATAGCTGTTGTTAATCTGGATCACTTAGCTGAGGTAGTATTTGTCAAGTTTTTTCACCATAAATTTATTCTTTTTTCCCCCTTTCCATAGTGTACTCTTTGGAAAGAAGTTGCTATTTGTAGCCCACACATAAGGAATAAGGAGTTATGCTCCACCTCCTATGATCCATTTGGAGTTAATTTTTGTGAAATGTATAAGGTCTTTGTCTAGTTTTATTTATTTTTGCATATGGATGTCCAATCGTTACAGCACTGTTTAAAAACTAACCTTTGAATTGCCTTTGTGCCTTTGTAAAAATCAGTTGACTGTATTTGTGTGGGCAATTCATTTGACATTGAAGGTACACTTGAGAGTGATTCTTGAGAAAATTAGTTGACTTTGATTTTATTTCCACTAGTCTGTGTAATTTCATTTTATTAAAATCTTTTATCTCCACACAGGTAACTGTCATCTCAGCCTTTGCAAGTGGCTTCTCTTAATAAGAAACAAAAAATCTTCAATTTCAATTTTCTCTTCCGTAGGTAAGATTAATAGAAAGAGATTTTAGAAAACCTCCACTCTCCCGGTATTGTTTATCTTTTGAGAAAAGGGAAGATGCCTGTGAATGACTTAAGATCAAACAGCTGGCAAGTGGTAGCGCCACTAACCAATGATCAATGATTCATCCAGGACTCCAGCCAGGACTATCACCCCGCATGGTCTCCTAATTTGAACAGAGGCTTCTGTCTCTTCAGATCATTTTCTCCAGTCATACTAATTCATAAATATACATACTTCTCAGGTGACTGAGTAAACAAATCCTCCACAAGGCTAACCAGAAAACTAGCCCAGGGGAAATCACCCTGAGAAGGTTGGTTAGAGCAAAGCACTAACGAGGCAACTCCTGAGTTCTTGCATCCCGGGAGACAGCTTATTTTTGATCTGCATCCAAATGGCAGCTATAAAATCTCTTAAGTTTCTGGTCACAAAAGGAACTCAATGAGAAAATGCTGGATTTTATATGTGCAATCCACTACTATCATTGGGAAATATAGCTCAATAGCTGAACGGGCACATCCTGTGGATACTGTTAGGAAGATAATTTTCACATGAGAAAAACAATAGTGCACCTAACCTTGTGTGGGTGGGCATTATGTTAGGTGAGTATTTTGTTCACAAGCAAATAGACATATGGAGAGATGATGAACCACTCAATAGATGGAAGGAGAAACTTGACATTTTGATTCCACAGAATTTCTTAAATATACTAAATAGATTTGTGAAGCTATGAATAGTTAGGTCTGTATGCTAAACAGTTAGATCACAAGATGCTTCCTAGTCTTTCATACATCATCCAAAGCAGCAAAAATGATCTTGGACGGTGAATGGAGGGGTTAATTTTATTCTTTCATTAAACTTTATTCAGATCTACTGCCCTAACCATCTTGCCAATTCGTTTAAAATATATTTGACTTTAAAACATTTCTCCATTATCTCCAAAATCATTATAATTAATTATAAAAGTCATCATTTGTTAACCCCCTACTGTGTGCATAATATTATCTTAAGCATATTTATGCTCATTAGTCGCATGCAGTCTTCACTTCAGTTCTATGAGGTGCATTACATCATTGTTTTCATTTTGAGTGATTAAGAAAACGACAACAACCCTGTAGTTTATGTTCAAAATTGTCATGACTTGTGCTTACTGCATCCCAGTCAAAACTCTAACTTCTTTATGCCCCTGATCACAGCTAGCTGCCCACGAGATTGAGTCATTTCAGTAATTCATACTACTATGAAAATGATGACAGATGTTTATCTGTATAGAAGATCTGGAGAAATCAAATCTAATGGTAGATTTTTATGTCAGTGAAAAGACATTGTTGGGAAAGGGAGTGCAGGAGACAGAGAAGGATTTCATACCTTCCTTTCAAATACACTTCTTAAATGTTTACCTGGTAAGATGGAAAACCAGGTATGTGTGTCTATCAATAAGAACAGCGTGTATTAGAGAATGAAGACTTGGCTTCTTCAGGGAGTACTGCTGGAAAGAGTAGAGACCTATGTGTGTGGTGGGATTTTCTGTCAAGGGTTATCTACCCACAGGTGGGATAAGTGAATTAACTGTAGTTCTGCAGCTAAGAATTCACAGGTTACAATTATAATAATTAGAGCATGTCCAGGAAAAGGTTTACAAAAATAACTTAGGTGATGGTTAGTATTGGGTACTATTTTTGGTCAAATATACATCCTTGTTTTTATTTTCTATTTTTCTTCCACTTAAAATTAGACACATTTCTTCTTGGTCTTTTGTACTTTAGACAGACATTATTGGGCAGCGTGGATTCAAAAATACATCTCTATTCAGTTTAGGCTAAATTGGAACTCTCACATTCTTATGGTTTGGGGCTATGAGAAAACAGAAGAACATTTTGGTGACCTAAATAATTTGACCTGTCGGGATTCTACATCATTTTAACCAAAACATATACTATCTATGGCTACTGTAGTTGTACAAGACGCATACCGTATCTAGTGTTGTGATTAAAAGTGAGGGCTCTGGAGTCGGACTATCTGAGTTCAAATTCTAGCTCTGCCATTTACTAGTCATGTGACCATAAACATTTGTTTAACTACCTTGTACCTCAGTTTCCTCATTTGTAAAGTGAGAGCAATAATAGTACTTTTTTCATAGGATCGCTGTGAGAAATCAAAGAATCACTTAGAACAATGCTTGGTACAAAATAATCATTCATGTTTGTAGCCACATAATTTTGAAAAAGATGAGACAAATTATTAACAACAGGAAGATGTGATCGTGATGAAAGTGACAATGGGGCTCATAATTATGAAGGCAAGTTGTGGAGTTATAAAAATCTTTCCCTTATAGAATATTCTTGGTTTGGTCACATACACACACACATAAAAAGAGTTTGGTAAATTCCAGCTATAGTTTTTTCTTTAATTCAACAACTATTTATTGAGCATCTACTATGTTCAGGCATTTTATTAGGCACTGGGAATTCAGCAATGAAGAAAGCAAACTCCTGTCCTCATTGGAGATTATATATATTAAGGAGAGATACAGAAAATACAGACATGAATAATGGGAATTCCCTGGCTGTCCAGTGGTTAGGACTCGGCACTTTCACTGAAGTAGCCTGGGGTTCAATCCCTGGTCGGGGAACTAAAATCCTGCAAGCTGCACAGTGTTGCACTCCACAGTTCATATCTGTAGTTTTAACTAATAATATACATTCTTTTCATCTATTTTTCTTGAGCATGTTAATCATACTTAATATCTGGATCAATATCTCTTTGTATCTTTTGTTTGCTTTTTGATTTACAATGTTGTGTTAATTTCTGCTGTAAAGCGAAGTGACTCAGTTATACATACATTCTTTTTCATATTCTTTTCCATTGTGGTTTATCACAGGATATTGAATACTGTGCTATACAGTAAGACCTTGTTGTTTATCCATTCTATGTATAATATTTAGCATCTACTAATCCCAAACTTCCAACCTATTCCCCTCCACCCCCCTTGGCAACCACAAGTTGGTTCTCTATGTCTGTTTCTGTTTCATAGATAAGTTCATTTGTGTCATATTTTGGATTCCACATGTAAGTAATATATGGTATTTATCTTTTTCGGACTTACTTCACTTAGTATGATAATCTCTAGGTCCATCCATGTTGCTGCAAATGGCATTATTTCATTCTTTTTTATGGATGAGTAGTAAACCATTGTATATATGTCCCACACCTTCTTTATCCATTCATCTGTCAATGGACATTTAGGTTGTTTCCATGTCTTGGCTATTGTAAATAGTGCTTCTATGAACATAGGAGTGTATGGATCCTTTCAAATTATAGTTTTGTCTGAATATATGCCCAGGAGTGAGATTTCTGGATCATATGGCAACTCCATTTTCAGTTTTTTGAGGAACTTCCATACTGTTTTCCACAGTGGCTGCAGCAAATTTTAAAATTAATTTTTATTGGAGTATAGTTGCTTTACAATGTTGTGTTAGTTTCTACTGTACAGCACAGTGAATCAGCTATATGTATAAATATAGCCCCTCTTTTGTTGGATTTCCTTCCCAGTTAGGTCACCACAGAGCATTAAGTAGAGTTCTATTACTATCTTTCTCTTTATGGTTTTAGTACTTGTTTCTGTGTCCTGCAATGCCTGGGAAATTTTGATCCAATTTGATCCAGACATAGTATTTTAAAAATTAGAGGGCTTTGGGGTAAAATCTTCCTCCAGAGAGGCTTTACCCCTT